CCCCCCCCCCCCCCTTGCCAAGCACGACACAAACCGCCTGCCTGGGCCTTCCGACCGGCTGGCGCCCGTGCCCCCTCCCGAGTCCCCCCTCACCTGGTGCACGCTTGGCCCGGTGCCACGAGCCGCGGCCTGGCCCGATCCATGAAAAGCGCGACGATCCTCCCGCCATCGGCCCACATGGACCGGCGCCGTGGGACCGCCTCCCCGGCCGCCGCGCGGGGCAGCGGCCCCAGGGCCGACCCGGCGGCAATCGGCACTTCCTGGGTGCCATGCGTGCGCGTGCATTCGGGCTTGCGACACAGCCACGCTGCTGCTCGGCGCCCGGGACATAGCGGCCCGCGCGAAGCCGCCCCAACAGACCGGGCATGCTCTTGCCTCGCACCCATGTTGCGCGGGTCTGAGCCCGCGAGCTGCCCGCCTCGCACGATGGGCAAGCCCGCATCCGCCGCAGGGCATGGCCCTTCCCCCGGGCGGCCCGTGGACCGGCAGACGGGCGCCGAAACTGGCCCGCCGGAGCGTGGATGCGCCAAGCGCAAGCCCCCGCGCGCCGACCCCCACCAAGCGGGGGACACGCATCCGCCCGGCGCCCGGCCGGCATCCTCTCCCGACGCCCGGCCGCCAGAGCACCCGTCCGGCATGGCGACGCTCGGCATGCGGCGCGCCGGACAAGCAGCGCCCTGGCACGACAGTGGCCGGGAGCCCCAGGCGGGGAGACCCAACACCCGCCCCCTTTGGTCCATGTGCAGACAGACACATCGCACATCGCACACCGCACATCGCACATCGCACATCGCATATCGCACACCGCACATCGCACGTCGCACATCGCACATCGCACATCGCACATCGCACATCGCACGTCGCACATCGCACATACCCATGCACCGGGCCGCGAGTGCCTGCAGCCACGCAAAAGCCTCCCGGTGGCGAGCATGAAAGGGCCCCACGCCCGGGCACAGCCGCGCCCCCCGGCTCCGCAGCCCAACCCCACCAAAGGCCACGCCCCATGTGCCGGACCTCCGGACATCCACTTGCCCCCCCCCCCCCCCCCCCTCGCTGAGGGGGGCCTCATGCCGGCACAGGTGCCCCCGGATCAGGTCCACCCGGTGCTCCGGCACATGGGCTCCCCGCCATGCACATGTGCCGTGCCCGCAGCCATGCCCCCCGGGCCCGGTCGCCAGGTCCGCAACACCCCGGCGTGCCCCCCGGAGGACGAGTGTATTTCCCCCCTCCCCCCCCCCCCCCCCCCCGGCCATTGGCCGCTGCTCCCCGCAGCCGACAGCCGGCCGACGTGTGGCGCCCCGCGCGCATGTCAGTCGCGCTGGATTTGCCGCAGGAGCTTGAGCATGTACCGGTGGTAGGAGGCGCCCAGGCGATCGATGCAGGCCACCGTCGGGGGCAATGCCACCGCCTCCGGCCGACGGCACACGGCGTACGCCCCACGCTCGAAGGACCTTTTGCTGGTGCAGAACTTGCAGATCCCCAAGGTCTCGACGGGCGGCATCCTCCCGGCCTGGGCGCACTCGGCCGCCTGCCTCTCCAGCTCCCCTCGGGCCCGGTGGGCCGAGCGCGCGCGGAGGATGCGCACCAGGAAGTACTGCAGGCCCACGGTGGCGCCGAGCGGTCAGTGGCTCCTCCTCACATGGGGCCCCACCGGGCAGGGGCAGAGCGGCTGGACAGCGGCCGCCCCTCCCGCCCCCCGTCGGGCGCACAGCGACCCAGCTGCTCGGCCATCCATCTCACGCACCAGTAGCACCACCGCAGAGAGGCCCAAGCCAGAGAGGCCGACAGCCAGCAGCACCACATTCCTGGGCGGCGTGGCTGCGGCGTTCCCCGCGGCCGGACGCGTCCACGCGCCGACGCGCATGCCCGGCAGAAGCACCGTCAGTCACATGCCCGGCGGCTGTCACCCGCCCCCCTCCCCCCACCGCCGGACAGGGCCCGCCTCCGCGGCCAGCGCACCAGCTCCGGCGATCAAAACACACAGGGAGATCCCGGCGATGGTCATCTGAGAGCCCAGGGGGGGGGGGGGGTCAGCGCACGCCAAGGGAAAGCCCGACAGCCACATGACGGCGTGGCGACCGCCACCGGCAAACGCACCGCACCCACGGCCCTCGAGCTGTGGAAGATGTTCATTCTCCTCGGCGTCGGCAGGACCTGGCCCGAAGGGACGACAGGCCCACCGGCGCAGGAAGCGTCGCACGTCAGAAAACACGCCTCCCCTGCCCCCCCTGCCATCGGCGCCGCCCGGGCCGGGCCCCATGGCCAGACGCACCTCCCGGAAGTAGGCCGTGTAGGCGGAGTAATTGGCGAAGGGAATGCGCCCCGGATGCCAGGATGCCCTCTCACATGCCAGCAGGTAGATGTCCAGCCGCAGCGGCGGCGCCCCGGGGGCCAGGTTCCTCACATACGAGATGACCAGATAGCGGCTGGATTCATCGTCGCCCTCGGCATGCTCGGCCAGCGCCGGGGCCGGGGGCCGGGCGCCGGGCGCCGGGCCCTCGGCCGCGCCATACACCGCCAGCGGGTGGCCGGCGTGCGGGCCAGCCGGCCCGTATGGCGTATGCTCGGCCACGGGGGGCCGGGGCCTGGTCTGCCTGCCGGGCTGGGGCACCGGCCGCCCGGCCGCGCGGGCCGCCTGCTCCGACGGCCCGACATGCATATACACGCTGGTGGCCATTTCCACCGCCACCGCCACAAGAGCCCGGCGGTCGGGTAAGAAGGGGAGAAGCTCAAGGCGCGGGTGGGCAGGGCCAAATGCAGGGGAAAGGAGGTGTCAAGTGGGTGGGGGCGGGCGTGGTGGCTTGGTTTGCCCCCCTGCCACGGGGACCGGCCGGGCCGCCAGCCCGGCCGCCCTTGACCCGATGGCTGCCCGCCCGCCCTGGCATCTCTCCCGCTCATGCACGAACCATGCTCGCCTCCGGCGCCTCCCCCGGCCGCCGGCCAGACGGCACGGACCGCGCCGGGCGGCCAGCCGCACGCGTGCCCCCTCCCCCCTTTTCGGCGGTACCGCCCCCAACTAGGCCTTCGGAGGGGGGGGGGGGAAGCGGACCACCAACGCCTGCCATCACACATGCAAGTGCCCATTCCCCGGGGCAACATGCGGCAGCCCCGCGCGAGGCGGTGCCCGCCCCGTCCCGCCCGGGGTCTCTCGCTCTCTTGCCGCGGTGTCTCTCGGGGCAGGGCGCCTTCCCGCGCGGGCCGCCGCCGGCCAAACGCCCGGCGCATCGGAAGGCCCTCTCCTCCGCAAGCGCACCACGGCCAGGCTGTCCGCGGCCGGCTCGCCGGTCTTCCCCCCCCCCCTCCCCTGGGGTGCCTCAGCCCCGCACCAGGCAGGCGGGCTCCCTGCCGAAGG